AAAGTGTCTATAGTAAATATAATATATTGAGAGGAAGTATAAACACAATCATATACAGTAAGTGTGAATATAAGACTATGGCATGATTACGTTTGTAAAAGTCTATACCTATTATAGATTTGCATGTGATTCCCCATTTATGTATTCAAAAGTCTTAAAAATGTTGAAAGTCATACTTTTTTAATGACGATGAATTACACATAATGTTTTCATAAAAAATAAATACTTTAGTAAAGCAAAAATAACTAATAAAACAAAGAGAACCAAACATAACGATTCAATATCACGGTTGTTCTCAAATACTTTGGATACAGACGTCCGGCTGGGTTTTAAGAAACACCACCCCTCCCATTCACATATGGATTTTTGCGAAAATCCCTACCCATATATATATTTTATAGGAAAGTCAAAATACATTTATACATTTCCTATCATTAGGGCAAATATGCAATATGTGATATCTTAATTAGATGTTAACCACAGGGAATCATTCATATTATTAGATACAAAGATCAGAGTACACATTTTTTACAATCATCTTAACAGAAGTTGAACATTTTTTACCCTTTTTAATTTCTGCCTATTTTTATTACCGGTGTGAAATTGCACCCCATTGACATATTTGACATTCCAAAAAAAGTTCCCCATACAAGCGACACGTATGTGCATACTTTTAGGAAGAAGACTCCCAATCAACCCCACCCGAGTTCAATATACAAGTCTTAAAAAAGAATGTCACTGCGTGAATAATAAAAAAAACGACGAATAAAACTTCGCTATGAGAGTTCCGATCTATGTGAATTATAAATCTAGAAAGCAACGTATTCTCTCAAAACCATTAATATCCACGAGCTCAATGAATCATTCCACAATATGTTCTTGAAACTCATAAAACAAAAACTTTCAATTACATTTACATCGACAATAAGCAAAGGGGAATACAACTCGAAGACATTTCCGTAATTTGTTTGAATACTTTAAAAACTTTTACAATTAAAGTTACAATACAAAGGACAGTGACATACTACCACTCTACTTAACTAAGAATACACTACCTTCAATAATCGTAATAGAAAGAAATACATGTAATTAACAAGTATATTTCTAATGGAACGAATTTGCCGATTTTTTCTCGTATTAAGCACCTCCTCTTACGGGCATAAACTTTCTTAACTGCTAATAGCAAATGTATTTTGGATGCACTTTTGGATGTAAAATTCTATATTCAGTTGAATATTTTAGATTTCTGTACAGTCCCAAATATTCATACTAGGCATGTCTTTTTGTTAGTACTTTTCTGTGTTTTTTTGTTTGTTTGGGGGAAAGGGGCTTTTGATATCGAATCAACTACTACACATGTGCAGGTCTTTTGGTATTGATGATGTTTATATTGGGTAAGTGATCATTTCAAAATAAACCACGCCACGTTTGAAGTAGAGCCGTGTGTGAATGTGTCCATTGTTCTCGAAATGAAAGTATATGTCTAGAATAAGACATAACAAAAGATTTCTGCAGTTTCCAACTTGGATAAATTAATCAAGGAAATCTAATTGGAAAAACGACTTAATTCAGCCTCCGCGTATACTTCATGAGACGATGAATTTAAACACCACCATATCAGTGTGAACAAAAGAAAAGCTATAATAACTCTTATTTATTCAAACTGTTTTGAAGCAAACACACATTATATATCAATATCTAGAACTTCATTTATTCGGTTGAGAAAATGTTGGAGTATTTGTCTCGTTTAAGGGTACATTAGCTATATTTCTTCGTAAAAAGTGAGGCTAAATTTGATGTAATCTTTTAGTTTCTTACATGTATCGACATGAAGGTTTTACGTTTCTTCAATAAAACACTATAATCGACATAGTCGTACAATTTTGCATGCTTCTAAAATTTTAGTTACTATTCATTTAGTTCTTTTTTTAAGAAATAAATGACATAATAAAATATTTTAAAAATTGGTTATCCTTAAACAAAACTCGTTTGATATTCATAGGATAAGTCAAACATGTCTGCCTTTCTAAAATTTTACTTGAAATATGTAGTAACTAACAGTATTTATATTTAATGCTTTCATTAAACTTCCTGGCTGTGTTGATAAGAATTTGTCTTCTACTGAAACTAGCATAACACTGAATTGTATTTGTAATAGAATATTATAATGTAAAATGTTTTAAAGGATTATTAGCTACGAAGTCGACAAAAATCAAAATACGATTTTTTTGTTTCAAACATTTATAAAAGCGGAATTGTGAAATAATGTTTAGCTATTAGAAGTCAGTTTGGTTTACATTTGTCAAAAATAAGCTCAAAACATCGCTAATGTGTTGTAACGAAAACCGAGCGGTCGAGCCTTAGTGTAATGCTAGAAGAATATGTTTTTATAATGTCAGTCATACATAGGGATCAAAAGTTTACATCCAGTAACTCTTCCTTTGGTAGCGTGGTTCTCTGGAATTTTGTATACACCCTGGTATGGTTGGTTCCACTGGTAAGGTAATAACTCGGATATAAAGGGTAGATTAGGGTATAGGTTTTTGGCCCGTGAAAGTTTGTGGTTTTGTATGGTAACTCTCCGTATTGATGTTTGAATGAATAACAGACTCGTGAAATAAAATCAACTTATATTAACTTTAATATGCATTAAATATCCACAATACATATACATTTTAGATAACTTAACAGTGTTCAAATCCAATAAATAGACATTTTATCGACCTTCTTTCGTAAATAAAGAAAATGGACAGCGGAAAAATATAACCAGAAAGTTTACTAATTGTAATTTAGCAATCGGCAAATGGTAAAACTCAATAACAAAAGATTCGTTATAAAGTTTAACTTACGAAGTGGTTTTCTAGGTGTAACTTGTAGGAATTAACAAACCCACATTTTACGGACCTAGTGTCCTCGGACATGGTAATATGTCGTCTGCCTAGCTACTACTTGGTCTGGTAACTGGTATTTATTTACTTGTATTAAAATCGCCTGGAATTAGCGAGGGTTACTTGCCCAGGGTAAAATCGTGCTGAAGACTTATTTGAATTCTCCGCCGTATTTATACTTAGGTAAACCAACTTACCGATTTGGTTTATCATTTACCATTATGGAAATACCTAAATTACCAAAACCGGAACTGGTAACTGCTAAAATTGGCAAAACGTTATTGTACCTCAATTGATATATCGGGAAAGGTTGCATTTTCGAGTGATTTTTCTCATTCAGACCGATTTAACTTGAAAACGAGTTCATGGACCCCTCTTTTTTGAAAATGACTTTTGGCTTGATTATGTATGAAGATTATTTGTGGCAATTTTTATGAAAAAATCAACGATGAAATTTTTTTAAATCGGATAAATATACAGCAAAAAATGCCGTTCTTTGATTTAAATCATAAAAATGTGATAAAAATGATTAATTTCAAAAGAGTTGTTTCACAAATTCAAAGCACACTTATATAGAAAAGGTATTCTAGATGCTTTTGCAAAAATCCGCTTGCGTTTATCTTTTTAAACAAAAAAGTTAGGTATGTAAATAACCACAGTAAGGACTAGATTATCTAGACACTCCAATACGCATGAAACGCATTATGGCTCGGTTATATCCCCTTACTAACACTCATTTGTTTCATATTGGACTAATAAAGCATAATGAAGCATTTTGTATTTGAAGAAATTCAGTAAGATCTGCAAATTAATTGTTATCGTTTATCTAAGTTCTACTATTAAACTTGTCATTGGAAATAAAATATATAGAAAGACTGCCTACGTTCAGCATTTATGTTTCTACAAATTTGTCCTGGAAACATAAGAAAAAGTTTGTTTGGTCTTATTTTCAATATTTTTAACTTGCATATACCATTCAGAATTATATGGCGTTGATCACTGCGAAGTTTAACGGTCCGCTTGTTTAATTTTCCAATGTCCATGAATTCTTTTATCAATTGTGTGTTTTCTCTTGTTGCTAATATTTCATTTATCCGATTTCACATTACTATTCAGAGAAAATATTCAATTTTCGCGATCGTGGTCTATATAGAAAGGTTTATGCATATTTAGTTTATATTATTTATCATTGACATACATGAAAACTTAATTGTTTTGAAATTATATTGTCAACTAAAACGAAAAATGCAACTCATTGCGTTTTGAAGGACGCAAAGGTTGAATAAATATCTGTATCAAATTGAATCCTGTTACATAAATAAATATCTATCCTCTAAAATCTTAGTTGTTTAGTATATTGTAATTGACTTTAACCTTCAAGTTAGCTTTCGTGTAAGTATCTTGTTTATGTATTTTATATTTCAACAAATTAATGTAGGTTTTTATTCAATTTTGAATCTCCCTACATGTTTGTTAGACAGTAAATTGAAGTTATTCTTTCAGCTAATTTACAAGGAACAAGTATTCTTCTAATAATTATATGTGGTTACGGATAAATATGAAGAAAAAAATGTAATGTGTGGTCAGGTAGATTATTTGTTAACATGTATCAGATGTCACTAGCATTCATTTTCTGCACGAGTACTTTAAAACAAAAATGAAGAACCTCAGCTAAAACCTCAGCTAAAACCTCAGCTAATACGACATTTAAACCCGATCATCAGTATAAAATCTTTCAGTCGTAAACCAAACAATTGAAAATGATCAACATGACGTGAATATTAGTAAAAGGAAATGTTAGCTAGACAGCAACCCAACGTCATCAATAACAAAAACACATCTAAGTATTATTCCATCTTGAACATATGTGCAATATCTTACTGCCATATCCATTCCTAATTCACAAAAGAAGTAATGCATTTTATTATTCGAAAATTATGTTTAATTATTAATTTCATTTTCCTCGTGATATATTGAAATTAATGTACATTTACATCAATTGATGTAGTCATTTTGTGAACCGAACGGAACTTAAATGACATCCGAATTCCGTTGCGGTCGGTAACAAATGATTGTTCTTCCCTTAGGTGGATTTGAATCCCGTGGGGAAACTAGACCTGTGATGATTTTGTCTATTATATTATTTTGGTCATACAGCTCCTAAAGATTTTATCCTTCTTGGCTGCTCCAACTCTCGGCTCTTGCATGGGCGGTCCTTACAATTGTTGAATCCATTAACATGCATCGCATGCAGTAAAAATGGTACGTACGTTTTACCTTGATACCTGAATAACGCATACAAGTTTTTTTTAATTTTTGTCACAGTTTGAAACTTTCAGTTATATATGTTTTTCTGGATTTAAATATGGATAATTTATTTGTACACACAACGAATTCAAAACTATTTTCTAAAATTAAGTGAAGTTATATTTAGAACAAACAAACCTGTACATATTTATCATTGTATAGTGTATATGGACTCTGGTGACGGTTGTGTCATCGACAGCCATACCAATCCACTTTAACTTTTATGCTTACTATGGGCATATTTACTTTCTGTTGTCATTATTAATTATTTGACATACGTATTTCCTTTCACTCAAATGCAGGAGCGGGGGTATGCATAAGCACACTACATCTTGTTTTCTGTTTTTGGAGAGAGAGAAAAAAACTCACACGCTGATTTTAAAATCGAAGTTTCATAGAATAAAAATCAATAAAAACACGACGATTTTGTTCAGGGATTGCAAGAGCATCAAGTGGTAATTTTCATGTATTACAATTTTAAAATTTTAGATTATTGTGTACCATTGTCTTTTCCTTATATTTTTATTTGAATGATCATATACACACCCTGTCAACTTAAGGCTGTTTTATATACGTTGATCATAGGCGAGTTGAACATATGAACCGGAATAATGGACCTGATTTAAGTCCTATTTCTCGTTATGTTTGTTGATCTTTTATAGTATTATTATGTAAATTTGGTCTATTTTTGCATTATTTATATACTTTTTCCTTATGCCACAAAGTTTAAATAGACGTGAAACGAATAATGAAAATATTCTACGGGTTGTTTGCTGATTTAAGCTTTAGATTTTCTTTAACAACTACCTAAATTGTGAAAATGAATTCAATATTGACTATAGTCCATTTGACTTCTATAAATCTTCAGAAAATAATTCTTAAATATTCATTTTTACAAATAAACATTTTTTTTCTTGATGTATGTTAATGTATGATATATACGAACTCTGACTATGAATATAATAATTTTGGGCCAATAATCAAAAAAGTTACCCATTAGGTCTCTATGTTACTTCTATTTTTTTTATATAAAATACTTGATGGAGTAAGTATGAATAGTGTAACAGCCTTCCATTCAAAACAAAAACATTAGACATGTGCTTTGAATGTTTGTTTCATTGTACCATGTGACTTAACTCATTTAAATATCAAAGGATACTATACATGTCATGAAAAATGACCACCATATATTTTTTTTATAACTGGTTTAACAAGTTTAAAGCACATGTCTAATGTTGATGTTTTGAATTTAAGGCTGTTACACTATTCATAAAAAAAATAGAAGTAGCCTAGAGACCTAATGGGTAACTTTTTTTATTATTGGCCAAAAATTATGATATTTATAGTCAGAGTTCGTATATATCATACATTAACATACATCAAGAAAAAAAAGGTTATTTGTAAAAATGAATTTTTAAGAATTATTTTCTGAAGATTTATAGAAATCAAACCGACTATAACTTGTGCTTTTAAATCATAATTTAGTAGATATTGAAATAGTGTGTAGAAAGGAAGGTCAAAATTAATGGTCATTAAAATAATGGTGCTTAACATACCCCCTCCTTTAAATTTTTACATTTTTATATTCAGAAATAGCCATTTTCTACGACGTGAGATTGATAGTTAATGTCATTACGTTAGATGAATGACATTTTCGATTCTTCCAAAATGACGAAATGCATGCCGTGAATTAATATTGCAATCAATTAACCTTTTTGTTACTCTGAATTTATTTGATATACACATTAGAGTAGCCCGGGGGAGGGTTGGGTTGGGGGTGAGGGTTGCAATTAAACTTCAAATGGAACACTCAAAAATTTAAAGCATTAAACCCTGTTGAAAATGGGGTTTCTTAACTATAAATGATGGTAGACTGCCTAACGTCCAATGGCAAATATCACATGAAATTTCAGAACGATATCGTGTTAATGATATATGAGTATGCCCTGACACGCTATATCGAGTGTTTTACGTGCAAGCTAGCTCACAATTTATTAACCAGCAGAAAGATAAATTACCCTATTACAACTTATACAGCTCGTACTCCCAAATGCAGCGTGCTTCAAGCACACGTAGCAAATGCAAATTTTAAAGTCGTTGGTTTGAACTAGTTGGGAATCAAACCCATGAACTCTTGGCGCTATAGAACCAGCACGTTACCATGAGATCACCGAAACTTGAGAAAGATAGATATTTAGATACTAAGAATATCTAGCTCAATATACAGTTTCTGAATTAGCATTCATACTTATTGTATTTATTTTCCTTTTAAAGATTTTTGGAAAAACTAGGGACATCTATAATTCGGAACGGGCCTCTGAAAATGTGGAGTTTACAACTTTAATAGACAACACATGCTTTTTTCTGAATTCAAATTTAAATATTGTTTTTTTTTTCTTTTTCTTTAGGGAATTTGGTGCTATGATCTTCGATGGTTTATATTTTAAACCACCACATTTCTGTACTGGACAATTTAGTGCTGCACATATTGTTCAGGCAGGTGTCGAATGACCACTAGATTCTTTTTTGGGAGCTTTTTTTCTGTGTTGCCTACACTTTGATGTTTATCCTGTGTTTCCATTTATTCATGAAAAATCATTCATTTTAGTTTTCACAAAAATTCACAAAAATTCTTTCAACACGATTTTTTTATTTAGGGGCCAGCTGAGGCCCACCTCCGGGTGCGGGATTTTCTCGCTCCATTGAAGACCCATTGGTGGCCTTCGGCTGTTATCTGCTCTTTGGTCGGGTTGTTGTCTCTTTGACATATTCCCCATTTCCATTCTCAATTTTATTTGTACGAGACATTTGTTATATTTTAGTTTGTTGCAAATCTTATTTAAGAAGTAAAATTCTGCATGTAAGGTATTATGAATAGTTAGTCTGATTTGTGTCACAGTGGAGGTTTGAAAGTTCTGTTTAGACCTTTTGGTTTTCATGCTCTCAAGCGTTTGATATTTTTGGCTTATATATGTGACTGACATGTTACTGTTTTAATAGAATAGGGAATGGGAAAGGGGAATTAGTCAAAGAGACAACAACCCGACCAAACAGCTGAAAACAGCCCAAGGCCTACAATGGGTCTTCAATGCAGAGAGAAAATCCAGCAACTGGAGGAGGGATTCATCTAGCTTCTAAACAATAATGTATACTAGTTCAGCGAAATGGACGCCACGCTAAACTCCGAAACATAAAAATCAAACAAAATTTTAAAATACACAAAGGCTAGAGGTTCCTGATTTGGGACAGGCACATAAATGCGGCGGGGTTAAACATGTTTTGTGCGATCTCATCCCTTCCCCTATACCTCTGGCCAATGTGGAATAAAAAAAAACACACAGCAAAACACACAGTAAAACTCAGTTTAAAAGAAGTCCGAGTCCGATGTTAGAATAGAAAGCTACAATTTGAGCAGACTTATTATAGTTTGTAAGGATGGTATAGGGAACACAATTCTATGAACAAAAAGAAAATATGATGTTGTACTTTTTAAATGAAATGTGTGAAGATAGCTTTAAATTTATTGAATACTGACTTGAAATAAAAGGAAAATGATAATGTTATTATCTTTTAACTCACCCAACCCTTTAGGTTCATGTATAATCTTATATTATTACTCATCCGTCCGTAAACTTTTGTTTAAAAATCCTCTCCTGAAACCACAAAGCCAAATGTTTTGAAACTTGGCACTGATGTTGTATGGTATGCTCTCTACCAACAATCTTCTTTTTGATCCCGAATAATAAAAAAAGTCCACCAAAGCTAAAAGTACACCAAAGGTATAAACCGCAGTTATTCAGTTTATATCTCAAAAACAAAAGAAGTTAAAGCAAAACTGACATATGTAAATATGTTCAACATGTCAAGAAATACCTACTCTGAAATTTTCAGAAGAAAAAAAAATGACAATCCAATTATGGAGTTATTACCCCCGAAAGTTCGAAAATTCAGCAGTTTTTGATTATCATCTTGAAAATTATTACAGACAGAGTGAACTTTAAATAAAAAAGAAAAGCAAGACAAGATCTTCAAATAAGTCAACATAGGATAAATCGTCAATCGAGTTATTGTCTGTAAATAACCATTGTTGATCACGCCTCTTTGGCTAACTTTTTTTTCATCCTTTTTTAAGCTTTTTGCAAAAACAATAGACTAAGTACATAGAGAAAAAACTGTAAGCAGCAAACATTATCAGCAAAATAAGATATACAAATAACTCCACATGAATGAAATCGACAATTCACCCATATTGCAATTCAATAACAGTATACCCATTTTTTGTTGTGTGTGTGCTTTTTTTTCTTGCTATTTTCTTCAAAATTATAATAGTCGGAGAGAAACTGCAACAACTAAAAATGAGCAGTTGAATTAGTTCTTCATATAAGTGAACATAAACGAAAGCGAAAGGTCACTCATTGCAGAAGTTATTGTTCTTTAAAAATGACAAGGTTTACCCATAATTGGCTATTTTGCAATTACTAGTATCTTGAAAAGTTGTTGTTCTTTAAAAATGACAAGGTTTCCCATTATTGTCGATTTTGCAATTACTAGTATCTTGAAAACTTTGAGAGAGAGAGAGAGAGAGAGAGAGAGAGAGAGAGAGAGAGAGAGAGATTGTAAACATCAAGACTATAGATCTACAAGAAAATAAATCCTTATGGGGTTATTGTCCTTAAATAACTTGACCTTAAATCACCTCGGCTCATTCTTCTTGGAGTTTATGCTATTCGTTGTACATAAACAAATGATTTAGGATAGTGCAAGGTTAAAGTATACAGGTAGATATTTTTTGAGGTGTGTTCACTGTATCAATCTGATGGAACTAAGTTTCGTTGTTAAATTGAATACATTAAACGTTTAAGTATATGCAGGAGAATGATATATAATCCCTTTCTTCATGATAACGTACGAGCGTTAGCGAATATATATTCCAAATAGAAGGTGTGTTTGCTGTTATTTTCGTTTAAACTGACAAGGTATGTTCTTTTATTGGAATAATGATTGGCTGTTGTTCATTTTACTTGGTTTGTTGAAGGAAATATCTATTCCTCCATCGAATTAACTGTTTCTTTTTGGTTCGATTAAAGTAATGATATATCTATAATAGATATTATTTTCGTTTATCTCTTTTAAGGTCTCATGGATGAAATGTTAGATATTTATTTTGAATGATATCATTTTACTGCAGAATATTCTTTCCCGAAGTCAACTGCAGAAACTGAAAAATCATGCCGTATGATGCTAAAAATGGTAAAACAAACAATGAGATCCGCAACGGAAACAGAACAGAAAAGTACAAGTATGATCAGTTTGCTGTTGATGATAATGATACTGACCAAAATGCAAGCCTTGATAGCGATAAAACGGATACTGGTGTCAAAATGGAGAGAAGTCTGGGTCTTATCAGCGGGACAGCTATAATATCAGGCACTATGATAGGTACGATTTTACTTAATCTTTTTGAAATTCATTTTGGGTAATAGTAAATAAATATGACCATGCATACAGTTATTCTAGGAGGAATATGTATTTTGATTAGTTATATTCCTAATGGATAAAATGTCCTTTTATCCCTCTTTGTAATGAAAGCTACACGCACTAGTATATAAGATGAATTAAAGTCTAGGAAATACAAGAAAGTTTGTTCAAGAAGCATTTCATAGACTGTTGTTTGAGAAAACACAAGACCTCTTCTCTCTTTATTTACGCTTGAGGTGACATTTAATCGTTCAACTGCATTTTGTATTATTAAATGTATATAAAACAGGTTAATTATGTATTCTATCGTGCATTTTCCTAAAAATTCTATGTATTCAATATTATCAATAATATCACCTGTTATGTACGATATTACTCTGGCAACTACCGAATATATATAATTCTCATTTGCTTCATACATATTACGAGATAACGGACATCTTGGATTTCAGATGGAAATAAAACATAGAAAAAATATGAAAACCATCATATCATATTCTACGCAAAAGTGTCTCGTCAGTCAGTGCACCAGTTTAAAAAAACAAGCTGTTTATATGTACATTTTGTATTTCGAAAATGTCAAATATAAAACTATTATCAACAGGGGATAATAGTTTTACTGTCTTCTAGAGGAAACTACATATATTTCCCTTAGGTTCATATAGTGCCGAGTCCATCCTGAAATTCAGATTGGCATCCACATCTAAAACTTTATGTAGGACCATATCATCGTTATTCATCCAAAACGTTAATCCAACATGTGAAACATTTTCAAAAAGAATCTGTTAAGATGTTTTAGATATGATTTTGTTTTAACTTATTCCACAGTTCCAGCAATCTTGGAACTCAATTCATCAAAAATGCAAGTTTAGATTGTATAAGATCATCTAGGGGTCACGCGTGCAAATAAAAACGCTGAAATTCTAATTAAAATAAATTTTGAAAATTTCTTGTAAGTTAAGTCTCATTTATCATTTAATGAAAGTGAAAAACATTACTACGGATGTCGCACACGAAGTGGTGGCAATCGCTCTTATGACCATGAACAGGGGAGCTTGAAATACAGGTTGACACAATCAGCAGCAGCAATGGGACAATTTTACATAAATATTTTGAAATTGTCTGTATGACTGCGTAAATTGTCAACATCAACAAAATATTATTACGTTTTTGCTATATTTTAGATTTTTTTCCCATTGCCTATAGAATATCTAAAACACAATTTGTTTATAATATTTTATTAAGAATTGCTTTTTTGTAATGTTGACATTTGTTATTTGTTTTTGAATCTTTCAAGCATATCAAAGAGAAATAAATAAATGCTATTTCGAGTATTAGTCATCTACATCAAAAGTAGATCTTATTACAGTAATATTTATCATAATAATAATAAAATCATTTCCTATTATCACTTATATGCGTGGGAAGATCTTTTCTTCTGTTACTAAGCCTATCTCATTATTTTTTAATATTGCAGTAAAAGTTTTTGTTTCTTTATCATGAATATGCATTGGCTACCAATGTTCATTTGAAATAAAAAAAAATCTTGAATATCAAAAACACTAAATGGTATTTATTGAAGTATATACAATTTGTAATTACAGGTTCTGGTATATTTGTATCTCCTAGGGGAGTTCTGTACGGAGCAGGTTCAGTGGGAATGAGTATGGTGATTTGGCTTGCTTGTGGAATATTGTCTATGTTCGGTAAGATTTTTGTTGTCGTTGCTTTAATATTCATATTGTCACAAGGTTATTTATTATTTATACTTCTGTCATGTTTTTGTGTCGTTTGTTTTGATGATAGATACACATTCGGTCAGTGTTTTAGGGGCACTTTTTCGTCAGTGCACCCTTTAATTTCACTTGTCCCATGACATACAGTATAAATCATCATTGTGACTAAACTGCAGCTAATCCCCTTATTATTTTTTTTTTATATTAAACGTGTGTAATACTGAACTGTTAAGTGACGTCTGTTAGATTTGTTGTTGTTGTGATAATGGTTATAGACTTTGAAGTAGTACAGATAGATTTTTGAATTATTATATATAATACGACTTTAAATAAAAGCTGTAGGTTTCAAGATATATTTTGTAGACTTAATGTTTTGTGTCGTACATTGTTTATTCTAGGAGCACTGACTTATGCCGAGTTGGGGTCAACAATTCCTCTATCAGGTGCAGAGCACGCTTACTTTATGGAAGCATTCTGTAAAAATAAGAAACGACGTAATTTGTTCGGACGTATTCCAGCGTTTTTATTTGATTGGATATGCATTTTTATCATCCGAACAACTATGTTTGCTGGAATGTGTTTTACTCTTGGTACATATGTTACACAACCTTTTTATCCGGATTGTATGCCACCACTTTATTTGACAAAACTCGTCACTGCCATTTCAATGTGTAAGTTTATTTTATAAATATTGAAAATAACCAGAAATACCATAATTGTATTACCTCTGCATGTACAATATGCGTTAGAATTTTTTGTAATCAATGATCAAAACGTTATAGTTGAAATATTATTATCGTATATAATCCTAGACATTTGTTTGTTTAATCGTAGATTAAAGTAAGAATGGACATATTCAATCAAATACTGTGCACGTGCTTGATAATTGTCCAGAATATTGAAGTAATATGTGATTCGATAGCTTCTTTAAAATGCCTTCAGAAAATACAAAGAAAAAATAAAGAAAAAATGAGGTCATCGATCTTTTTTTCTTGCTATTTAACGAAATAATGAACGTTCTTTTATAAAGTCCAAATTACCTGAGTTATCTCCCTTATAATGCAGCTTTAAATAGTTTTGAATCAATTAAGAAATATTCTGTATTTGTAATCGTTGTTATTATAAGATAAAATTATAAAACTATCTTCATTTAAAGAAAAGTCTCACACATGAATTGCGTTCTCCTTAAATAGTTCGACACTTAATTCTATCTTACAGAAGGATTTTGAACTTCTTTTATTCTCTCTTTCTATAGGTTTTGTGTTTTCAAGTTGCTGTCTTATATTAAAATGTATAATTCAATTTCTTTTTTCATATCAAACATTTTTCTATATTCATTTTTTATTAACCATGAAATATGTATAATAAGACGCCGAAGTGCAATATGTCATTTTATATTAGAGTTAACTTTCCTTATATTACAAGATACATTTTCTTTTCTAGTTATACTTTGCTTTATAAACTGCATGAGTATCAAGTTTGCTGAAAAAATTCAAGTGTTTATGATGGCCGTGAAATTAATTGCTGCTGTTATCATCGTTGCTGGTGGTTGTTACAGTCTTTCTCAAGGTGAGGGTTATGAACGTTCAGGATCAAAAAGTGGGGTGGCTTGAGAAATAGAGTTTCAGACACAGGCAATCCATTTTTTGTTTGTTTTTACAAAATAGACAAATGCAATACACAACTCGCAATTTCAGAATCTAAAGCATTCAAATTTTTTTAGTAGTATATCAAAACAGTGCATCCACACGTGCTGTTTGGTAACTGACGTCACAAACATTGGATGCTATTCTCATTTTTGTGACTAAACAATATTTTGCTAAATTTCAATTTGAGAGGTAGATTGTTGTCAAATGTTAAAGTTCTAGTTAAGAAAATAAAAACTCTTATGAATATGCCAATTTTTGCCAATTAGAATATGTTTTTTATGCAAAATGATAAAGATATAACAAACAAAATTAGGGAAATTGTATGTCATATTGAAACATTTGTGAAAAACAAAGTGATTTCCTCTAACATTTAAATACAGGAGATACAGAAACCCTTGCCAGTGGTTTTGAAGGGACAAGTACAGACACAGCTATGTTGGTGCTTTCTTTTTACAACGGGCTCTGGGCCTATGACGGATGGTGAGCTTGCTTATTTATAATGTAAATTTATGTAAAACTTGATTTCAAAATCCATTCAAGTATTACAAAGTAAATATTTCGATTAAGTACCACTTGTTTATATATAATATCGTATTAAGAAGCATTCTAACAATAATAAACCACCATAATATTAGATTAATGCAAATAAACTCATCATAGATACCAGGATTGAAATTTTGTACGCCAGACGCGCGTTTCGACTAAAAAAGACTTATCAGTGACGCTTGAATCAAAAAAATTTAAAAGGCCGAATAAAGTACGAAATTTACGAGAATTGAGCACCCAAAATACCTAAAAATTTTGCCAAATACATCTAATTTAATCTATTCCTGGGGTAGAAAATCCTTATTATTTCGAAAAATTCAAAGTTTTGTTACAGTTAATTTAGAATTATGACCATATCAATGAAAATTCATGTCAACACAGAAGTGCTACATGTAATTACTAAGCCGATAGCTACAAAATATTTAGGAGGGTGTTCTTTCAGCAATTGAATCTTATTTCATGGTAAAACATGATTAATGGAGGATATCCAACTACATTTAATGGCATCATTATGTCAATGTAGAAACATAATTGTCATTTGATTATTGCTTCTATTTCAATTAATTCACAAGCAGATATATGTAACACAAAATATTTCACTATATAATATATATGTACCCGAAGATGGTAAATAAGTATTGTACATATAAAGTTGCCTTTTCATTTACTTTTAACAGGAACAATTTAAACTTTGTCACTGAAGAGTTAAAGAATCCAAAAAAGTGAGATAATATTAATAACATGAGGAATTTTATCACTTTATTTATGATAGTTCAACTCACAAATGTAGTTTTTCTTTAGAAATTTCAACTTCTTAATTTTTTTTATCATTCTGCATCAGATTTATTTATAAACCAGTCAATGGAAATATATGAAAGTCTATTTTTTCTTGGTGTAAAACTATTTTTTATTGCAGTTCCATTAGCAAGATAAATTATTCATCTTTTCCTTTGTTCTGTTGCGTTCTACTCATGTGTATTGCTTACTATTGCAGTACTCGCCTAATGGCGCTGTTGTTATTCTTTTTTTATACAAACCGTTTTAATCGGGAATATGTAGTTGAGGTAATCTATATTTTCTAACAATTTTCCAAACCGACTTTAAAGCAGCATTACCAATATTTGTCAAATCTCAAATTTTGTCTTGATTTTTTTATATTGATAATTACTTGTGACTTTTAGATGTTCTTTATTCATCTTTTAGAAACATACCAAGGGCTATATGTATAGCTTTGCCGTTAGTCATGCTGGTATACCTTTCAATAAATGTTGGGTATTTTGCAGTTCTGCCAAAACAAGAGATCCTATCATCAGACGCTGTTGCAGTGGTTTGTATATACGATTACCATTTGAATCGAGACAATTTTTAGCTCACCTGGCTCAAAGGGCCAAAAGAGCTTTTCTCATCACTTGGCGTCCGTCGTCCGTCGTCGTTAACTTTTACAAAAATCTTCTCCTCTGAAACTACTTGGCCACAATCATTATTGGGGTATCTAGTTAAAAAAATGTGTCCGGTGACCCGGCCAACCAACCAAGATGGCCGCCATGGCTAAAAATAGAACATAGGGGTAAAATGTAGATTTTGGCTTATATCTCTGAAACCAAAGCATTAAGATCAAATCTGACATGAAATAAAATTGTTTATCAGGTCAAGATCTATCTGCCCTCAAATTTTCAGATGAATCGGACAACCCGTTGTTGGGTTGCTGCCCCTGAATTGGTAATTTTAAGGACATTTTGCCGTTTTTGGTTATTATCTTGAATATTATTATAGATAGAGATAAACTGTAAACGGCAATAATGTTCAGCAAAGTAAGATCTACAAATAAGTCAACTTGACCAAAATGGTCAGTTGACCCCTTAAGGAGTTATTGCCCTTTATAGTCAATTTTTAACAATTTTTCGTAAATTTTTGTAATCTTTTACAAAAATCTTCTCCTCTGAAACTACTAAGACAAATTTAACCAAACTTGTCCACAATCATCATTAGGGTATCTAGTTTAAAAAATGTGTCCGATGACCCTGCCCGCGAACCAAGATGGCCGACATGGCTAAAAAATAGTACACAGGGTAAAATGCAGTTTTTGGCTCATATCTCTAAAACCAAAGCATTTAGAGCAAATCTGACGAAAAAATATTGGTCATTAGGTCAAGATCTATCTGCCCTGAAATTTTCAGACCAATCAAGCAACACGTTGTTGGGTTGCTGCCCCTGAATTGGTAATTTTAAGAAAATTTTGCAGCTTTTGGTTATTATCTTGAATATTATTAGATAGAGATAAACTGTAAACAGCAATAATGTACAGCAAAGTAAGATCTACAAATAAGTCAACATGACAAAAATTGTCAATTGACCCCTTAAAGAGCTATTGCTCTTTATAGTCAATTTTTTACAATTTTCATAAATTTTGTAAATTTTTGTAAATTTTTACAAAATATTTTCCACTGTAACTAATGGGCCAAGTTCATTATAGATAGAGATAATAGTAAGGAGCAAGAATGTTCAGTAAAGTAAGATCTACAAACACATCACCATCACCAAAACACAATTTTGTCATGAATCCATCTGTGTCCTTTGTTTAATATGCACATAGACCAAGGTGAGCGACACAGGCAGTTTACAGCCTCTAGTTTTTATTGGGAACACGAGTACAGCTTTATATTGTAAAACTAAAAAGGCAATAAGTATATACACATTTAAGGAGTTAGGTATTGTATTTCGATCGCAGAGTTAAACTGTTAAACATGTATGAAGTCATTTGAGAGCATAAAAATCATAATATCATAGTCCTTGTCGTCGACTACAATAGTTTTGATATACAGCTATAGATAAAGTAGAGAAAACACTTTTCGAATAGGAAGTTGAAAATGAAATAAATTCCATTTCATTTCAACCATCAAATTCCCGCCTTTTTTGTAAGCGTTGTACATGTTCCGATGATAAACCAGTTTATTCATTCAGTAAACATATATTGTGCAAATTAAGAAATTTACTGTTCCTTGTTGTCTTTACTGTCCTTTCGACTTTTCACAGTGGATGAATGCTATTTATCAAGTATAATAAGCAAACAGTTTTGTTTTCAGTTATGGGGTAAAAGGATATTAGGTGTAATGCAGTGGATAATGCCTATGTTTGTTATATGTTCCTGTTTTGGCTCAGCCAATGGATCCTTATTCTCAAGTGGAAGGTACGTTCTAATCTACTTTACCACTTGGATCCCTTGCTTTGATAGCTTCTTTGTAAACAGTAACCCTCTATCAAGAAAATAATGATAAGAAACACAAGCTCTGGAAAGCATATCAACTGGGTAATATGTATAATCCAAATACAAGACCTGCTGGAATGTTGCTTCTTAGAAATATCTGTGATAAATTCAGAAGATGTTACGCTCTTTGAATGTTTAGGAACGATTGCATACTCCTGAGTGTATAAAGGTGTCTGTTACATGTAAACGACAACACGTTATGCAGTACCCATGACGCACAATTTTTCAAAACACAGTCAGAGTCTTTGACTCACTCTTAGAACATATACTGTTTGCAAGATTTTTTTAGCTCTGAATATTCATTTAAAACTTGCCTTTTTTATCTATCAATTCAAAACAAGCAGAAAAATCAGCACCTTCATTGAAAACAAGAATAACTTTTCATTAAAAAAACTAATTTCGAATAATAATGATATATTTCAAGATTTTAAAAATTCAAGTGTCAGTCTGATAATTAAAAGTTATTCTTACCTTTGTGATTTTACTATAGTATTGAATTTTTTTGACGTGATGAAAACAAAAGACCGTCACAAATTAAAATCGTTTGCACGAAGTACACGAACAATGAAAAATAGTGCTGATTAATTAGGTAGGCAGAGCTAATAAGTTGCATTCATACAGCATGAGTGACTTTCGTACCGCATGGTTTACTTTTATACGAAATGAGAGTACATGATAGAATCAAATGATTCGTCTTTCAGCCAATAAAAGATCGGCATCTGCATGAATTGAACATCTATTGTAAATATCCAAGATAGTTAACTATAGTAAGTCACTTGATACGAACCAAATTATATATATAATTTTCATGGCTTTTGGATTGTTTCCGTTTGAGAAAAGACTCATAAGAGTTATTTTTTTTAACTTTTTAGTTTCAACAATGATTTATGTAATACTACATAGTATTTTCTTACTATATAAATCCTTGGTTTCAAAAACATTGTTTATCATTATTATTTATTTATATATAAGTTAGGTTTCTGTTTTATTCTATAAAATGGATTACTTGGTTAAAAAAATTATTGTGACTACATGGCTGATGAATACAAGGTTTATTAGAAATGATAACTTACAACAAATGAATGGTGCATTACTGCTAATGGCTTAATAGAAAATTATTCAAACACACTTTTAAATGGTAGAGTAAATTCATAGATAATTTCAAACTTTAATTTAGCTAACCTACAATGTATTTATATAATGATTTTTACAGCTTGTGACAAACAAAATACAAATTACATAAAACATAAACAACATTTTCACAACTGTATAATTGTTTTATAGGTTGTCATACGTTGCAGCTCGTGATGGCCATTTACCATCCGGAATATCATTTTTGCACGTGCAAAGACATACTCCAATTCCTTCCATGATATTCACGGTAAATAACATTTATTATACAACATATCAATTGATAATAATCTCATAAATATATACAAAGACATAGCACTGCAATGCAGTCCATATAAAAAGATAAAAACTTGATGATGCCGATAGCATACGCACATCCGTACAACATTTGTATTTGCCAAAAACTTGCCTAGATATTAACTGCTAGCGAGTTTACTGGTCTTTGTAAATGTACACCGACAAAAGAACTTGATTTTATTTTTTCTAGTTTCAAAATTTATTATCTAGTATTGCTCTGAATGTTTATGAGGACATAAATCACACTTTACGTAAAAATATTCAAAGTGTGACATAATTGCATGCAGCTCTGTAAAATACAAGCTTGTCGTCTGTTTTATAGTGTCATAACAACTGTCGTCGGGTCTTTGTGATGAACACTTTAAAGTTCTATCCTTTTGGCTTTAGTTTGTCATATGGAATATTTCTAGTGTTCACAAGTGAGACAATATATATAGAACTAGTATTTTCCTGAATTTTTCTGAACAAATATATTTTTGCTTCCGTAGAACTAGACATTGAGGTGTTCAAAAAAGCACAAAAGTAATTTATATTTAGCTCACCAAAGGGTCAATTGAACTTTTCTCATCAATTGGTGTCGTCGTCGTCGTCGTCCGTGTCCGTCGTGCATCGTCATCCGTGAACTTTTACAAAAATATTCTTCTCTGAAACTACTGGGCCAAATTCGGTCACAAACATTGAGGTATCTAGTTTAAAAAAATGTGTGCGATCTTATTTTCATTTTCCATCTTTTAATATATTCAAGCAGGAAGTACGATTTAGATTTATGTACTTGCTGACATTGTCCTTCTGGTAGACGCTTGTGCTCTATACCAATTCATCCGAACTGTACAGGAACTTATGGTATTTGCTAAAATTAGGTTATTCGCCATAATGACGTCACTGCAATCAATTTGCATCATCAAGACTAACCTAATGTTGACATTTTTTGTTAAGAAGAATAATATCATTACTATTAATTTAATGTTTGATAATTTACAGGACAAAATAAGGCCGGATATGTACTTTCTTCTTTGAATTTATTAATATCAATATGTCAAATTCGTCTAGTACTAGTTCTATTTTCTGATATGGCTTTACTTCAAACAGTTGTAATGAGATTGAACAATTAAGGTTTGAAGGACATACTCTGTGCTCATAGCAACGGGATTAAAATCGTAGAGAGTAATAATAATAATAATAACACAATGACCGATTTTCTTACATAAATCTCTTTCAGCTGACCCTTTCAACACTCTTGATAATTCCTTTTGATCTTGGTGCTTTGATAGGAATATTTAGTTTTACGTCTTGGATATTCTATGGTGTTTCAGCAGCCACAGTTCTATTGTTGCGATATAGAAATAGACACAAGAAATTGGACTCTTATAAGGTATAGTTACAGTAAAGATGCACATGATCTTTAAAATAAAATAAATTTAATTAGATTGTACGATCGATACATCACTTTTAATTACTATGCATTATGACTATACAATTATACTTTAGATATATAAAGATATGTTTCCTTCATTGTAGAAATATTACGTATCTTTTGAAGTATATCAAGCATGCTAAGGTACATCGAACAAAGTCAAGGCACTAGTATGCCACTGTATATGCAGAGTAGATCTAAAATTGATTTTGTTTCAAATGCAATAAAATTCGGAAGATGTTTGCAAATGATTTGTTATAATAAAATTGCCTTGTTTTATATCGGATATCCAGATCTTTGGGTTATGTATCTTTAAATTTACATCTTAATCTATTTATTGGAATCCTATCTTAAAGGACTGAATCCTCGCGTGTGTATTGTTGTAGTGTTCTAGATACAGATACAACTATCTATCATGGAAAGTTAAATGAAGGAGTACATGTGCAATTCTATAGCCTGTAGTGATATTGGTATTCTTATTCAGCTACGAAAGATGTATTGCCTTTCCACACACATTTTTTTTTTCTTCGTGCATAATGAACTATGTAATGTGTCGTATTTACATCGATTTAAAAGTATCATCGTCTAGGTGCTAATGAATTGAAAAAATGGACCATATTAATCATTCAAGAATTAGCAAATGAAAATAATACATTCCTTGATGGTTTTAATACTTTTTTCTATAAAATCCGAAATAATGTTCTTGACGAAAATCCAACTTTGGTAGCAACTTTCTATTGACTTACAGAATATGTCCAGTTTTACAAAATGAAATTGGAACACCGTGTATCGCTTTGGAATCGTCCGATTGCTGTTGTCAGTATAAATGAAGGCAAGAGTAGTTTACCGATATTGAGATCTCATAAATCGATTAAAAAGATACAAATCCAGGTCAAAACAATAACTGATGGAATCGCATTAACTCCAAAAGGAGCGAGACCACCGGTGCGTCGAAAAGTTCTTTCAAAATTTTACTGTAGTGGCTTTAACTTTGAAAGATCTTCTGACCAAGCTCCCAGAATTTTATGAAGTTATACAAAGCTAATGAGGTCTAAAATAAACCTAAACTTCTTTTTGTTTAATTTAAGAAACATCGTCACCAGTCAGTTAGGATTGTCCACGGAGTCGTGTATGCTAAATCTGAAAGGGAAATTATACATGTTATAGAAGTACAACTCCTGCAAAATATCATTCAAATATGCGAATTCTTCAAGGGAAGACATATTGTTTTGTCCTGTTCGATTGGAATTGAATGAATATAACTGCATATCATGTTGAGTTGTGCAACAACTTATTTTTTTCTTTTCTTCATCAGATTGATTGTTGCGCATTCCCATAGCAAAACATTTAATTTGCTATTTACACATATGGTGAAGTTTGTGAACTTTTTTTTTTACCTCCTACAGTTTATATTGTTATGCAATATTATAAATCTAAGATATTTTCTAAAGTTTATAATATATCTTATAAATATTTTCTTATATAAGATATATTATATACTTTATAAGATATCTCATATCTTATAAGATATCTTATATAGTTTACAGGATAGTTAAATAGTGAAGTGTTTGAAACCTACTGACAGGATATAGAAAGTCTGAAACAGTTGGTTCGGTACAAATTTACAAACTGGTGCTAGGGTTTAACGTTACACATCTCTCACTATTGCAGTGAGTGTTTGCTGTTAAACCATACCTTTGTGCTACCCTGTTGTTCCGACAGTTATAGACATATATTTAAATAAAGTTTCATACCACTTCAAATAGTTTCCATACATTTGTTTTAATAGGTTCTATACATTAGGGTTTAAGCCCAGTTTCATACATTTAGGCTTCTGCCCATTTCCAAACATTTGGTTTGAACGAATATCAGACTGAAAGGGTTTTAACAGTTTTGATTTACCAGGTTCGAGTTAAGTTGATAGGTGTTGAAATTCACTTTAAATAGTATTTAATTGACTTTAGAAATTTTGCATTGGCCATTGCTCTTCAAATCCCAGGAAACTGGTACGCATCATAAACTCGAGGATAAACATATTAAAACGCCCTGTCCGTTTTCACGTTACACTCGTCTCGTGGGTTTATGTACTATTAAGAATGCAGTGATGTGATATTTTCCACTAAAAAGCATGCATAGCATAGCATGTAGTACGAATTCATATGACCAGAGACAGATTAAGGCCTTTCCCCTCCCCTTTTTTCCTGTTCATAAATGTAACATATACATATATCCTAAATAAAAATAGGGTGAACGATCCTAGGGCGAACAGACTATAAGGGGCGAACAAACCTAAGGCGAGCATGTAATCAGGGCGAACGGACCTAGGGCGAGCATGTTGCGAACAGACCTGATCCCCCATTTTCCAGGACAATTTTTGTTGTAATATGCTGTACATCTTCTTCAGTTCTGACTAGACTAGCAGGGTCGGATACAGCTATTTTCAAAAAGAGGAACCTTACCAAGGATAAAGGGTCAGTTCCAACTAAATATCCCCTAACATATACATATATCCTAAATAAAAATAGGGCGAACAAACCTAAGGCGAGCATGTAATCAGGGCGAACGGACCTAGGGCGAGCATGTTGCCAACAGACCCGACCCCCCCCCCCTTTTCTGGAACATTTTTTTGTTGTAATATGCTGTACATCTTCAGTAACCTTACCCAGAGGATAAAGGGTCAGTTCCAACTAAATATCCCCATTCAAATGCATTGATCGTCACATGTCAATAAAAAAGGGGGTTTCAACCTCCGGAATCCCCTGTGCCCCTGGATCCGCCACTGACTAGAGTCTTAATGTGTAAAAACCTGACGTCAAACTATGTACTATAGAAGAAACAAATAATATCACATTACATCCAAAAATCAATAACTGTTACTTCACATTACATTAATCCCCAAATTCAATTGTATTACGATGTCAATGGATGAAGTTCCCGCGAAAATGTCATGTGTTAAACGGGATAAACAAAAAAAGAATTTTAGGTGTATCTTAGCATTCGCATTCTGATCAATTTACACAGTTCAATAAAATATATATATTAACTATATTTATTTTGGATTTGAATTTAGATACTTTATCAGAGAAATGATTTGTTTCTCGCAGACAACGCTAAATAATATACATTAACTCGACATTGAATCTGAACACCCCTAAAACAAAATAGTATATGCAATCGACCAAACAGATTTTCCTAATATTGCATAATAACCTTGAAGTTGAAACTAAAAACTATTACGTGTATCCTGTCAATCCCTGAAAAAAATAAAACTGTCTCCTTGACTACTTCCGCGCGCCAAGGACTTGTAAAATGATATATTGTGATAGTGTATGTTAAGTATATAAGATATCTTGTAAATCTAAGATATTTTCTAAAGTTTATAATATATCTTATAAATATTTTCTTATATAAGATATATTATATACTTTATAAGATATCTCATATCTCATAAGATATCTTATATAGTTTACAGGATTAGTTAAATAGTGAAGTGTTTGAAACCTACTGACAGGATATAGAAAGGCTGAAACAGTTGGTTCGGTACAAATTTCCAAACTGGTGCTAGGGTTTAACGTTACACATCTCTCACTATTGCAGTTAGTGTTTGCTGTTAAACCATACCTTTGTGCTACCCTGTTGTTCCGACAGTTATAGACATATATTTAAATAAAGTTTCATACCACTTCAAATAGTTTCCATACATTTGTTTTAATAGGTTCTATACATTAGGGTTTAAGCCCAGTTTCATACATTTAGGCTTCTGCCCATTTCCAAACATTTAGTTTGAACGAATATCAGACTGAAAGGGTTTTAAACAGTTTTGATTTACCAGGTTCGAGTTAAGTTGATAGGTGTTGAAATTCACTTTAAATAGTATTTAATTGACTTTAGAAATTTTGCATTGGCCATTGCTCTTCAAATCCCAGGAAACTGGTACGAATCATAAACTCGAGGATAAACATATTAAAACGCCCTGTCCGTTTTCACGTTACACTCGTCTCGTGGGTTTATGTACTATTAAGAATGCAGTGATGTGATTTTTTCCACTGAAAAGCATGCATAGCATAGCATGTAGTACGAATTCATATGACCAGAGACAGGTTAAGGCCTTTTCCCTCCCCCCTTTTCCCTGTTCATAAATGAAACACATACATATATCCTAAATAAAAACAGGGTGAACGATCCTAGGGCGAACAGACTATAAGGGCGAACAAACCTAAGGCGAGCATGTAATCAGGGCGAACGGACCTAGGGCGAGCATGTTGCGAACATACCTGATCCCCCATTTTCCAGGACAATTTTTGTTGTAATATGCTGTACATCTTCAGTTCTGACTAGACCATCAGGGTCGGATACAGCTATTTTCAAAAAGAGGAACCTTACCAAGGATAAAGGGTCAGTTCCAACTAAATATCCCCTAACATATACATATATCCTAAATAAAAATAGGGCGAACGATCCTAGGGCGAACAAACCTAAGGCGAGCATGTAATCAGGGCGAACGGACCTAGGGCGAGCATGTTGCCAACAGACCCGACCCCCCCTTTTCTGGGACATTTTTTGTTGTAATATGCTGTACATCTTCTTCAGTAATCTAACCCAGAGGATAAAGGGTCAGTTCCAACTAAATATCCCCATTCAAATGCATTGATCGTCACATGTCAATAAAAAAGGGGGGTTTCAACCTCCGGAATCCCCTGTTCCCCTGGATCCGCTACTGACTAGAATCTTAATGTGTACAAACCTGACGTCAAATTATGTTCTATAGAAGAAACTAATATCACATTACATCCAAAAATCAATAACTGTTACTTCACATTACATTAATCCCCAAATTCAATTGTATAACGATGTCAATGGATGAAATTCCCGCGAAAATGTCATGTGTTAAACGGGATACACAAAAAAAGAATTTTAGGTATATGTTAGCATTCGCATTCCGATCAATTTACACAATTCAATAAAATATATATATTAACTATATTTACTTTGGATTTGAATTTAGATATTTTATCAGAGAAATGATTTGTTTCTCGCAGACAACGCTAAATACTGTAAATTCAGAAATTATTGCGCGCATTTATTATTGCGATTTTATCATTTTAGACTAAAATGCGATTTTAATTTTTGCGATATTGAGAAAAATCCTGTTTAATTCATATAAAAAATTTCAAAATGCGAGTTTAAATTATTGCGATTATAACCCTGTCGCAGTTTTCGCAATTATAAAAACATCGCAATAATTTCTGAATTTACAGTAATATACATTAACTCGACATTGAATCTGAACACCCCTAAAACAAAATGGTATATGCAATCGACCAAACAGATTTTCCTAATATTGATAAAGGTGAAATACGTAGAAAAAGAATTGTGCACACTGAAATAAGATCAGAGATAAAGCCCTATGTAAAGTGAAAATCAAATAAAAAACATATATAAAATCATTGTTTATTAAATTTTCTTACAAAATAACCTTGAAGTTGAAACTAAAAACTATTACGTGTATCCTGTCAATCCTTGAAAAAAAAAATACTGTCTCCATGACTACTTCCGCGCGCCACGGACTTGTAAAATGATATATTGTGATAGTATATGTTAATTATATAAGATATCTTATAAATCTAAGATATTTTCTAAAGTTTATAATATATCTTATAAATATTTTCTTATATAAGATATATTATATACTTTATAAAATATCTCATATCTTATAAGATATCTTACATAGTTTACAGGATAGTTAAATAGTGAAGTGTTTGAAACCTACTGACAGGATATAGAAAGGCTGAAACAGTTGGTTCGGTACAAATTTCCAAACTGGTGCTAGGGATTAACGTTACACATCTCTCACTATTGCAGTGAGGTTTTGCTGTTAAACCATACCTTTGTGCTACCCTGTTGTTCCGGCAGTTATAGACATATATTTAAATAAATTTTCATACCACTTCAAATAGTTTCCATACATTTATTCTAATAGGTTCTATACATAAGGGTGTAAGCCCAGTTTCATACATTTAGGCTTCTGCCCATTTCCAAACATTTGGTTTGAACGAATATCAGACTGAAAGGGTTTTAAACAGTTTTGATTTACCAGGTTCGAGTTAAGTTGATAGGTGTTGAAATTCACTTTAAATAGTATTTAATTGACTTTAGAAATTTTGCATTGGCCATTGCTCTTCAAATCCCAGGAAACTGGTACGCATCATAAACTCGAGGATAAACATATTAAAACGCCCTGTCCAGTTTCACGTTACACTCGTCTCGTGGGTGTATGTTCTATTAAGAATGCAGTGATGTGATATTTTTCACTGAAAAGCATGCATAGCATAGCATGTAGTACGAATTCATATGACCAGAGACAGATTAAGGCCTTTTCCCTCCTCCCTTTTTCCTGTTCATAAATGTAACATATACATATATCCTAAATAAAAATAGGGTGAACGATCCTAGGGCGAACAGACTATAAGGGGCGAACAAACCTAAGGCGAGCATGTAATCAGGGCGAACGGACCTAGGGCGAGCATGTTGCGAACAGACCTGATCCCCCCTCCCTTTTCCAGGACAATTTTTGTTGTAATATGCTGTACATCTTCTTCAGTTCTGACTAGACTAGCAGGGTCGGATCTAGCTTTTTTCAAAAAGAGGAACGGTACCCAGCATAAGGGGTCATTTCCAACTAAATATCCCCTAACATATACATATATCCTAAATAAAAATAGGGCGAACGATCCTAGGGCGAACAAACCTAAGGCGAGCATGTAATCAGGGCGAACGAACCTAGGGCGTGCATGTTGCGAACAGACCCGACCCCCCCCCCTTTTCTGGGACATTTTTTGTTGTAATATGCTGTACATCTTCTTCAGTAACCTTACCCAGAGGATAAAGGGTCAGTTCCAACTAAATATCCCCATTCAAATGCATTGATCGTCACATGTCAATAAAAAAGGGGGGTTTCAACCTCCGGAATCCCCTGTCCCCCTGGATCCGCCACTAACTAGAAACTTAATGTGTACAAACCTGACGTCAAATTATGTACTATAGAAGAAACAAATAATATCACATTACATCCAAAAATCAATTACTGTTAGTTCACATTACATTAATCCCCAAATTCAATTGTATTACGATGTCAATGGATGAAGTTCCCGCGAAAATGTCATGTGTTAAACGGGATACACAAAAAAAGAATTTTAGGTGTACGTTAGCATTTGCATTCCGATCAATTTACACAGTTCAATAAAATATATATATTAACTATATTTATTTTGGATTTGAATTTAGATACTTTGTCAGAGAAATGATTTGTTTCTCGTAACCCGAATAATCCCTCCCCGTGATCGACTCTCCCACTCGCGAGGGCCTGAATTCTTTATACAATAAAAACGCGTCACGAATCCAGGATTTTGATTGGTGCTCTCTGTGAGAGAGAGCCAATCAGCTAATAGCTCAATGTTATCGAGATGGGTAAATCCCGAGCTAATTCCGAATGATTATTTGACGATTGTCTATTGACAAGGCCTTCAGGCGTTAATGTAGCGATCGTAGAGCAGTGGAATATAACGACTGAATTATTCGGGTTATGTTTCTCGCAGACAACGCTAAATAATATACATTAACTCGACATTGAATCTGAACACCCCTAAAACAAAATGGTATATGCAATCGACCAAACAGATTTTCCTAATATTGATAAAGGTGAAATACGTAGAAAAAGAATTGTGCACACTGATATAAGATCAGAGATAAAGCCCTATGTAAAATGAAAATCAAATAAAAAACATATATAAAATCATTGTTTATTAAATTTTCTTACATAATAACCTTGAAGTTGAAACTAAAAACTATTACGTGTATCCTGTCAATCCCTGAAAAAAAAATAATACTGTCTCCTTGACTACTTCCGCGCGCCACGGACTTGTTAAATGATATATTGTGATAGTGTATGTAAATAATTACAAACATTCACATCTAACGTTTTTAATGCACACACGAGCAACAAAACTAAAGAAAAGATCTATTTCTTATTTGAAAGGAATATTTGAATAGAATAAATAGTGACAGAATGACGTTTTACCCAAGAAATACATGTATCATATTTTTATTTGATTTGGGGAGGGGCTCCTAGGCAAAACTACTTTCCTATCAAAAAAATCTAACAGTTTATAGTAGAATAGAATATAACTTGAAAGAAATGCCAGTCTGGAAGTTCGATTTAAATCTGAAGGGGGACCATGAGAAAACCAGTTCAAATATATGAATTATCGTTTTTATTTCTTAATTTTCCTGGCATTTTCTGTTGTATGAACTGTCGCTATTATTTTGTTTACATATCTGTTTTATATATAGAACTTATCGGCCATCTAGGTTGGCTAGATAGTAGAATTTATTGGATTCAGTTTTGATAGACTACAACATTTGGGCAATACTCAAGCAGACTACCAATGTTTACCCCCTTTCATCATGTTTTAGAATAAACACTATTCTTTGGTTAGCAAGTCGTAGAACACATTGTATGAAACAAGGAGACTAACTTTTCAGAGAAAATGTTTTTAGATAAGTTAGCGATGGACGTCAGATTATGTCAAAATGAAGACTTACGTACGTCGGATTTTCGGCATCAGCAAAGTAAATTTTTCTACGAGTGACTATATTTTAATGCATTTGCATAATAAGGAAATTGAACATTTCAATATCGTATATGTATTGGTAAAGGTATTTGTATTTATCATTAGCATTTTACTAACACGTCCAATTGAATGAAAGATTTCCTTTTTTCCGTGCATTTCGTTTCCGACGTTAATGTTGTATTGCATCCATTTGTGAATACTTCTATTATTGGTAATACTAGGTGCAAAGCGATCTTTCAAAAATTTTGACGCAATTATTCATCAACTGAGAATAACATATACTGTCGAGAAAAACATCAGAACATATTTCTAAAATGTAAACCCAAAAAGTAAAATAACAAAAATACCGAACTCCAAGAAAAATTCTAAATGGAAATTCCCTTATAAAATGGCAAAATCAAAAGCTCAAACACATCGAACGAATGGAAAACAAACTGGCATATTCCTGACTTGGTACAGACATTTCCTTATGTAGAAAATAGTGAGTTAATCCATGCCATGCTGCGTGTTCATGCTACAACAATGTTCAATGCTTTTAGAAGTACCAATATAAAGCTACATCTGGGCTATCTGTATTCGCTTTTGATCGGGGCCCTTTCTTAAAGACTTAGTCTGTATAAAGGTCAAATTAAAACCAAATTTTACCGTTTCTAATATTTGAACTTTACGCCCATATGGGCCAATGGCTTACAAACATATATACATTGTATATAACAAACAATACATATACATTTTGCAAATATACCTCCAGGCAATTCAGTTAAGTGAACAAGATGTCTATAATTTACTTTTATTTTATATCCATGACTTACTTTTCAGGTTTGTAAGGGAATATTGAGCATTTATTTGTGCAATGATAATTTTTATTTGTATATACAGATGAAAGACCTAATGATTAAATGGTATTTGTTTTTCAGGTTCCCTTGTTCATTCCAGTAGTGGTGATACTGTTGTCGACGTTTTTAGTGTTAGTTCCACTGATTTATTTACCAAAACCAGAGTATAAATATGTTGTGTTATTTATGGCAGTTGGATTGTGTATTTATTTTCTCTTTGTATATAGGAAAATTAAAGTTCCTTACGTAGGTAAGTTTAATAACTAGTACGTACCGAGAGGGTTTATGAAATTCACAATTGAATTTTTATTGTCAGATTTATGAAAACTTTAAAACACTGACTTAAAAACATGTTCTGCAAAAGATGTTTAAAAAGATTTCGTTTCTTGAGACTCAATTATATCTCTAAAATGTTGAATAATTTGTTAAAGATTCTTAATTTTCAATATTATCCTTTGTAAAGTACAACAACACATATGAATTGTGAATTTACAGTTGTTGTGCTGTAATAAGTTTTTTTTTTTTTTTTTAGTTTGAATATAAAATCATCATAATCCCGACTTTCAATTAAATATAAAATAGCCATCAGTATCAGATATCACATATTTACATATAGTAGCACTTCAAAGATAGGTTCCCGAAATTCTTAAAAGATTATTTACTAAATGCTCAAGCAAAAGTGCTACTCACTAGCTTATTAGCTAAATGAGTCTTTCATTAAAACTCATCAAAGATACCAGTCTTACTTACATTTTGGTACACCAGACGAGCGTTTCGTCTACATAAAACCCATCAGTGGCACTCGAATCAAAACCGTTTAAAGGTCAAATCAAATACGAAATTGAAGAGTCTTAAAAACCGAAAATTCCGAAAACTTTTGCCATATACAGCCAAGATAATCTTTTAATGGGAAACACCTTAGGGTTTAGAATAACATTACATTAACAGTACATTAACATAAAACATACTTAGCATGTTATTTCATGTCTTCACAAATGTGCTGACTATTGGACTGGTGGTGCCGCCGAGGACAAACGTCCACCAGCAGTAGCATTAACAAAGTGGTTGTAAAAACTTAACAAAGATACCAGGCTTCATTTATGTGTTTCAGAGTAAAGTGTGACGTCCATTTTCGCTGAACTAGTATACATTACTGTTTAGGGCCCAGCTGAAGCCCGCCTCTAGGTGTGGGATTTTCTCGCTGTAGTGAAGACCCATTGGTGGCCTTGTGCTGTTTTCTTCTCTTTGGTCGGGTTGTTGTCTCTTTAATATATTCCCCGTTACCATTCTCCATTTTATTATACTAGTAATTTTGTTCGCCAGAAGAGCGTTACGGGTACATAAGCCTCTTAAGTGGCTATTGTTTGATGCTTCTTGCTAATTTAGATTTCCGTTGCAGATTCAGCGACTCGACTGATGCAGAAACTTTTGGTTGTAGTACCGCCTTCTCAAGAAAAGAGTTATTAAATTTATGCTGAAGAGAGGAGATTTTGTCTGTAAACTTTAAAATTGTCGATGAATATGCTCCATTTAGACACGTATTTTCAACTTTAAATCGATTAGAAACTACATTTCTACGCAGTATTATACCCTAACCTCATTTACAATATAAATGAAGTTTCGGTCCAGGATTTCTGTGATGTGTGTTCAACGTCAATCTCAAATTCACGGACGACGACATTATTTTCCAATAGTTAGAGCTATTTGGTTGAAAAGTCTTATACAAGTGAATGATGAAGTAGAAAAGTCTCCAGAATCAGCTTAATGACAGTGACATGGTCAATAGAGCATTCATTTCCGTTCCTTCTTTTTCACAGAACATATTATTTCAATGTTAAATAATTTTTTGGAAAATATGTGAAACTAGAGGAAGTTTTTAAGGCTCAGGCGCTTTAACAGTCGTTTGAATTCAATGACAGTGAATAAATTCATAGACTTGATACTTTCGATCAGTAGATCGGGTATTTATGACAGTTTTAAAAATGACGAAGAAAAGGGCTGACTAACATATTATATATAATCATTTCTACAACTGATATAGTACGATTTTGTCGTAAATAGTGTTCACTTATTTTGATAAATGCATATAAACATCTATGTAAATGTAAGTGAGTAAATGTAGAGGTAAGTTGTCTATTACTTCTCTTATTTACATAATAAGTTATGTTCTCTAGATCTTAATTAATGACTATAATAAAATATAAAAATAGTTATAAAGTAGTGTAATTGGTTCATACAATTGTGCTACTTTATGAACACATCAGAGTTGTAATGATATTCTTCTAGACCTGCATCGACTATTTTTAAACCTTATTGAAATGCTTTGGGCGTTTTTGAAGAATAATGTAATACCTTTTGTCGCAAAAAAAGTCGACCATGACTGAATTATGTGAATTGAAGTATATAACATGGATACAGGTATCGCAAAAAAATAAAGCATAGTACAACAGACAATATCAACCACAAACACCCGGCCTATCACAAAAAACCTAGACATACAATCAAGGCAAACCAACAATTAAAAACACGATCCAGACATCAATACTTGGTACAAGCTTAAACAATATAGCCTTATATAGTAAGCTGCTGATTCATTTTTGGGCAAAACTTTATATAAAAAATTCAACTGCCTTTCATTTCATTAGAGTAAACGAGTTCAATTTTAACAATTTTAAAAACCCATTGTGTTTTCCAATTTTCCAATCGATAATTTTGGAGTGTCAAAAATTCGTTGGAGGTACTTGATAAATTGCATGCTCATATTGGTAACAACAAACAAAAGAACTATGTCAATTGGACCTGCTTTGATACGATAACTGCACTATCAAGTTATATTGTACAAAATAGTTTTATGACATTTGCGGGACGCTAAATGTTTTTGTTGGGGGTAAAATGTAAAGTGTGGGTCACAGTTTATATATATATGTATTAGTATATATAGTGAAAGATGTAATGTGTAATATCGTATGTCGGATATATTGTTTGTCATTGTTAGCATATCACTGATAAATAATTGTATGTTTGTATTTTTACTGCACTATGTCAGGGATTTTCAGGATCTCGTATGTTTGTATCGAGCACCTGTTTACATATTTTCGGGGAAAAAGTCATCAACTGCGCATGTGCGTAGAATTTAGTCAACTGGAATATCTGTAAATTCTACGATTTCTTAGATTGTCAAACATATTGAGCAAAATGCTCACTTTCTAGATAATGTCAGGGAACCTATTCTTATTTCATGTAATTTTTGCCATTTTTCAGCCGGTTGACTCGCATGGCTTTTGATTTCTCCGATTACCGCTTTCCGGTGGTGGCGCTACTATCGTGGCGCAAAAATTATGAAAACTTAATTTATTCAAGAAAATAAATTGTTCTTTCATGTATTTATTTTTATCTAGTAGTAATAAAATTGTATAAGAATAGTTTTTATGATTTTAATAATTTCATTTCTTCCCCACAATCTACCCAACAAAACACCCAACGGATCATCCAACAGAATACCCAACAATATCAGTTTTGGAGAGAAATCAGTTCTGCTACCAATTTTGGTTTGAATGGTTAGCATTTTCTAATAGTTTTTTATTTTTCATTGATTTAAGTAATTTTCAGTAGTTTACTTTTGCAGAACTCAATTTTATTCAAAGATTTTCATTGTTCAGTAATCTTCTCATTTCATTGATTCACATTTCTTATATAAAACTTTTGGCAACATAGGATTTCCTTGTGAAGGGCCAAGGAAATATAAAACCACATTTTTTGTATATAACAGTTTCCTGTGAAGGTCCAGAAACCTGTTATCTTAGCACTTCTCCTGTGAAGGACTAGGAGGAAAGTTGTTATTATTGTATAGTACATTTTTGATAGGATTCCTAAGAAGGATCATTCTAGTATCAGCATACCCTGTGAAGGACCAGGATATTTCTGATTGTATTTCATTGAAACTTATATTAAATAACTAGTAAAGTTTCAGATAAAGTTTCTCATTAAAACAAATAAATCCACATAGTCCATGTAAAGTAACTTATTTTGTTGTGTTTCTCCTTGTGCCGTATTGGCAAATTTAGTATTTTTTTCTATTGCATAACCATATTATATTTGACACATTGGTTGGTACATTTCCACCACAATTTTTGTGATAGCACTGACTGTGAAGGTCCTGTCGGTGGCTTGGTGAATATTTTGAATAACTGAAATTTAATTTACATTTTTGGTGTTAAATAGTCATATTGGCTGTGAATGGCCAGCCAATCTTTTGACTTGTAATTGACTGTGAAAGGCCAGTCAATGGTAATATTTTAGTGATATTCTGACTAAGGTCAAATAGAAATGTACTTTTATGGTGATCCAGTCACAACATATTTCTGATTTTCTAATGACATTGTTGATGTTAAAGGTTCTATTGAAGATATACAAATAAGATAATTATTGTTCATTGACTATTGAATATCATACACAAGTTGAATAAATTATGGAAACTTTTACTCATTAGTTGCCTTTTGCTGTGCCTTCGGTTTTCTTACAACCACTATAATTTCATCAGGCTTGGGCTCATTCAAAGGTTTTAACCCAGTAGTCAGAAACTAATTTATTGATCAACCCCCTAGCTCGCTACAAATTTTGGCATCCACGGTGGGATCCATTTTTTTAACAAGTGGATCCTGTGATACGAACTATTGGTTTAAAATGGTACGCAAGAGAAATCCTATCCCACCACCAGCTGGTAGTGGCGATGATTGTGACACAGAAGTCACAAATGCAGAAACTGAAACGGAACAAGATTCTGAAGGTGAAAGTTGTTTCTCTGATTATAGATCTGATACTGAGCCTGAATGTTTCGTATCAGAAGGAAAAAGAATGAGCCCAAAATTAGCAAGTACAAGCAAGGTTAACTCCTCAGAAACTACAAGCCTGATGCGCAGCTCTAGACTGCTTAAGAGAAGGCAAGCAAACCTAGACAGGGGGAGGCTCCCACCATAGAATTAAGTAACAGTCCTAATGCCCTTGATACTAGTTCTCAAACTGGTATATATAGCACTATTAAGAATGCCATCCAAGAGATGACCACTAAAGTAGTTTCTGCTATACAAGCAGCATTTCATGGCAGTACTCCCATGCCATATTCCTCAAGGGATATTAAAACTCCACCCAAAAACCCTGTTCATAGAAATGAAAGAGGTCACTCTCCTGTGAAGAGTTTTACAAGAGAGCAATTGACTCATGATAGTAATAGTGACTCTTGTGACTCAGAAGACAATGGCACTGACAGTGTCGCCACTGGTAAAGTTACCTATGCTAGATCAAAACCAAAGTTTGGAAACAGCATAAAGCTGCCAGCTTTCACTGGCGCTGAAAAGTGGGAGGTATGGGTCAATCGTTTTGAATCTGTAGCTGACCTCAAGGGTTGGACAGATGAAGAAAGATTGCATGAAATTTTACCCAGACTGCAAGGTGACGCAGGCGAGTTTGTGTTCGATCAGCTCACCCGAAAAACACTTAGAAATTATAATAAACTCATAAATGAATTAAAGAATCGTTTTGGGGTCATTAAAAGTTCTAGAACCTACAAACTGTAATTTAGTAGGCAAAAACAATTGCCAAATGAAACACCTGAAAAGTTCGCAGCCGACTTGAAGCGGCTGTATGATAAAGCATACAAGCGTCGTGATGCTCGAACTAGACAGGAAGACCTTCTTCAAAGGTTTCTTTTAGGGCTATATGACTACAAGGCCCGTATACATATAGAGCTTAACCGAGACCCCCTAACTATAGAAGAGACTGTGCACGAAGTTGTTACGTACACAGAAACTATGAAAAACCCAAACAGTGGGGAAGAAAACAATAAAAGATCAGTGAGACAAATCAAGAAGGCCCAAGAAAATGATAGTCCTAATGACCTAAAGAACAATAAACCCAGTTTTACAAAACCAAAAGGGTTGCACCCAAACCTAAAACATGAATCAAGTGATTCAAAAGCTGTTACTATGAACGAATCTGACTTGTTGACTCTGTTCAATAAAATGTTTGAAGAAAAGAAACATGAGTTAAATTTCAAACCTCCCAATAAACCTGATCAGTCCAATAGCAACAATACTAGCTTTAACAGTGGGTTTAAAAAGCCGATATTTTGTTATAGCTGTGGCCAACCTGGTCACATTGCAAGGAATTGCACTTCAAAAACATATGACAGACCAAATATCAAACCAGTCCCTAACCCAAAATTTCAGTATACAGGTGACAGAAGTCTGAATCCTAACAGTCGGGTTCAGCAAAGCTTTTTAAACTAGACGGAGTCAGCTCCGATGGCCGGGAGGTGACCCACATTGCAAAAGCAACAAAAATTGAAAGTCAAAACTTGTTTTTTAAAAGTACTCCAAATGACAGTTCTCGATGCTCAAACATAACTGTTTGTAGTGATAAACTTAATGACAGAGAAACATCCAAGAGAGACAAAACAGAATATCTCAAAATTGATAGTAGTAAGGAGGTTCAAGAGGCACCTTGTAGTACTGGTGTATGTCCTCCAGTAGATACTGAAGTAAAAGATTTGCCTATCCAGTGTAGAAAATCAATTTTAGGTACCGAGACGTATGTAGATAAGGAGCCATTGCATGAAAGTGGCAATGGTCCTTTGACTTTGAGCTCTATATCTGAAAATGATACTGGAAATTTCGACATTATAGGTCGACACATTTTGAGAAGTGAAGGTGTCTATATTAAAGGAAGCATTGAAAATACAAATGTAGTATTTACTGCAGATACTGGAGCCACAAGAACTGTGATTTCGACGAATGTCTTTAAGAAAATTCCACATGCAAACCGCCCAGAATTACAAAAGTCAAATTCTCTGGCAAGTGCAAATGGTCAGCCCTTAAAAAACTTAGAAAAGCAAATTTTGAACTCAAACTAGGTCCTCTCTTGCTAATTAAAGAGTTAATAGTGGCTGAAATTGAAAATGAAGCTCTGTTAGGGCTAGATATTTTAATGAAGGGTGACAAAGGGCCCACTGATATTATGCTTATTGAAAATAAAATCAAGTTGAACAATGTAGTTATTCCCTGTTTTAAAGTAGGTCAGAGTGACCCAATTAGAAAAGTCACACTAGCAGATAATTATGTGATACCTGCAAGGTCTGAAGTTATTGTAGATATTTTTATAGATCGATTTGACACTGTTACTAAAGATAACCCAACAGAATTGTTAATTGAGCCTCATACTCAGTTCACAGATAGATATCCATTAAGGATGGCTTCTTGTCTTGTAGACCCCAGTCAAACTGTCACCAACAAAGTGAGATTGTTGAACCCCTTTAACAATGAAATTGAAATTGTACAAAATACCGTCCTAGGGATTGCCGAAGAGATTGAAAGTTCCCCAATTCCTCTGTTCAACGGAGAAGACAGTGAAGAAAATGCAAATTTCAATAGCCTTCGGAGAATTAAATTTGCAAATTCTAAAACCAGTTTAGGGGACAGGACAACAAATACCGATGTTGTATGCTGTTTGTCCAAATCTATACCATCAGATGAGTGTTCACACCTTGAAAAATTATATAAAGAGGCTGCAAATGGCAGAACAAATGAAGAGCAAAATGCTATTGTTTCTTTATTAAATACTTTCTCATCTGCCTTTTCCAAGTATTAAGTCAAATCCAAGATGGACAAATGAAAGTCATTGCCTATGGCAGTAGGACTTTAAATAAAGCTGAAAAGAACTATTGCGTAACAGACAAAGAACTGTTGGCTGTCCAATATTTCATAGAGTATTACCGCCAGTACCTTTTAGGACGCCACTTTCATGTTAGAACTGATCATCAGGCTCTCATATGGTTTTTTTAGCCTGAAGGAGCCAAAAGGCAGGATTGCCCGTTGGCTTGAAATCTTATCTGCCTTTGATTTTTCCATTGAATATCAGGCAGGTCCAAAACACTCAAATGCTGATGCTATGTCACGTATCTGTAATCCACTGGACTGCCCTGAGACAGACAATCTTGAATACCTTAAATGTGGCCCCTGTAAAAAGTGCAAAAAAACGGGCCATTGATATGCAAAGCTCCATTTCCAATCAATTAGACATAACAGATACTCAGACTGAGAAAATATGTGCTGTTAAGACTAGACAGCAAACCAAAGACGAGCATGTCTGGACACTCTGGGAAGGTGGGGGATACTCAAACAAAGATTTACAAACCTTTCAAGAAAATGACCCTGATTTAAGCCCAGTACTTGAATGGGTTAAAACTAATACAAGACCCAGCTCAACAGAAATGGAAAAGTTCAGTGCTGCAACTAGGCATTACTGGCATTTATGGGGGTCTATTGAACTAATAGATGGTGTTTTATATAAAACTTCACTAAAAGGAATAGGGTGGAAAATTATAAGCAATTATTGGTCCCAGCAAACCTTAAGGAAGAAGTGCTTAAAAATA